GGTTAATAGGATGAAAAAGTGAGACCAAAAAGGGTTGGGAAAATTGTCACTAGCTCTTTTCATCACTCAGCTTGTCACTTAAAAAAAATGAAAAACTGAACTAGCAATCAATCGAAAGCAAGAAATCTAAGGTAATCAAATTGTGCACCAATGAAGAAATCTAAAATTGAACATATAGATAGATGGTGTACCTGCCACAGGTTTAGCAAAAGGAATCGAAGAACGTTGGACACTGGTACCAAAATTAGATCAAGCAAAGTAGAATACGCAGCAAATCTGCAACTGCAGCTTAATTCTGCTGTTCAGAGGGGTTGATGAATATTTCCCAGAAGATTAGCATATGATTCCAATATGATCACTTGGAGAAATGTCTACATGTACTTTGAGTACCAAAAAAAAAAAAGAGAGAATTTTCTAGATTAATAAAGTAGCTTAGCTTCTAATTAAGGTAAACACGAACAATTTAAAAATGAGGAATCTAACTAGAAAGAAGCATCTTTGCTAATAAGATCATGCGATCCGAAACAAAACTAAGACATTTTCATTATATAAATATATATTCTCTAAAGCGGACATAACAAAATCAAGATTGAAGAACTAAATAGATAGTGTACTTGCAGGATTAACAGAAGAAATTAAAGGAAGTTGAGATACTAGTGCCAAGCAAAAATTAGAAGTAGCTTATTGGTTATTGCTACTGCAAAGCCTAAACTTTCTTTCTGATAAGAAGAGTTGAACCAGCCAAGGATAAGAGAGAACATAAAGCGGTCAAGTCAATAAGAAAGTCATATTCCTTGGAAGATGCATAAATAACAGATACTAGTGAAATAAAGGGGTAATGCCAACTGTCATTCGTCTACGTTATTTTCTTTTCCAACCGTTGTTCCTCTACCATGAAAAAAAAAATGTTCAATGTCAACTTTTTACTTCTATTTTGTCTCTTGTTTTCTCTTGAGTTTATCTACTCTTTGTCCTAAGAATGGTATATTAAATTTATCATTTTATTATAAATTTATATTAAAAAATAAAAATTAATTTTTAATTTATTAATTATCTAATTAAATTTATTTAATATTAAAATCAATATTAATTTTTACTTATATATATGATAAAAAATATATATTTAATATATT